CCTCCCCCCTTCTAGCACTGATGATGTTACCTAATTGGGTAATGAAACATCTGCAAGAAAACAAGCAAGCTTAGAGAGCACCAAGGACCCCATAGTCCTCCTCCTCCTCCTCCTCCTCCTCCATCATTCCACAAATCCTACTCCCTTCTGGCACTGATGACGTTACCCAATTGGATAATGAAATGTCTGCAAGAAAACAATCAAGTTCAGAAAGCACCAAGGTTCCCCAGTACAACTCTGAGCTACAAAAAGTCTCTTCCAGTTGTAGCTTGGTTATACTATAAAAATTACGTGGTTATGCAATATTTTAGCTTGAGAGAAAGATCCAATTCCTTCAAAATGCTTGTCCTCTTTCCACACTTCTTCCAGAGGGTTGAGAAATAACTCAAAGATGAATGAGATTAATGTAACCTAATGGGTAATGTATTTGCCAATGGAGATGAAGTTCTAATTGTCGTGAAAGAGTCTGGTCCAGCATCTGGCAGGCTGAATACTAAGGGCTAGACGTAGCCTCGGAATAGGAATATCTGGCCATTCTGATGTGTTTTCTTCTCCTATTCACATTAGATTTTTGTTCATTTATATTATAAGTTAGTCTTTTCAAGAGTAAGATAATAATAATAAGATAACCTTTGTTGTTGTTGTTGTTTTTACTGTGGGCACACTGGCACGCATTAAAAATGAAATCCTGTTGTTTGCTCTCAAAAGTGTACACATACATAACACACATATAGAGACGCTACATACATACGTATGTATATACCTACACTCTTACATATAAATACATATAAATATTAATCACTGTCCATCTTGGATACATAGCGGAAAGAGGAAGCTTGAGAGTTCACAAGGTTGATACTATATGGAACAAAACTGTGACTGAATCCGGATGTTCTGCTTTGGATACCATGGAGCCCCCTCCTCCCAGAAGGTAATAAGGAAAACAGGTCGTGAAGAGGATGTGTAGAGTCCCAGACAATCTTGCGGACTCTGCCCAAGCAATGCTTATGGGCCATGTCCTGGATGGGAGGGAGGGAACTGCCAATAATCTTTTCTGCTGTCCTCACCACTCTCTGCACTGCCTCCCTGTCCGAAGAAGGGATGCTTCCAAACAAGACTGTAATGACAGGATGCTCTCGATCGTCCCTCCGCAGAAAGTGGTAAGGACGGGGGAAGGAAGATGTACTAGGGTTTGTGGCTGGATCCACTGGGAAATGTAGAGATGCAAGCCTAATGTTCAGATACTCCAGGTCCCTGCAGGCTTCTGAGGATGATGCCCAGGGGACAGGCATGTCTCCAGACTGGAAAGGTTTAGCCAGGGGCTGGGATGATATAACAAATTTCATTTTCCATTGTGTACACACATGGTTTGTTTTGTTTTTAATCAGCGGAGTCTCTAGTTATACTGTTTTGGCGCACTCAAGGTCCTGTGAAGCGCTTCTCAAGAAAGGCAACGTCAGAAGACAGCACGAGGGTGAGCTATCAGCCTCCGCTTTTTAAAACCACAGCCTTTGACTGAGCTGCACATGATGCTGAGCCACCGTTTGCTTTGAGTAAAGGGCCTTTCTTGGAAACCTCCAGCCAAAATGAAACAAACCACATGATGTTCTCATGTGACGCATGGCCCAGATTTTTTATTTACCTTGAGGCCACCAGCTGAGATGACAGTACATAGAGCAGGGGTGTCAAACTCAATTTCATTGAGGGCCGCATCAGCATTGCGGTTGCCCTTGGGGGGCCCGGGGGTGTGTGGCCAGGGTGGGTGCGGCCTACTGGGTGGGCGTGGAGGGAGTGGGTGTGGCCTACTGGGTGGGCATGGCCGGCTCTACATCGTTCGCGTCAAGGGTGCCTGTGGGGGCCTGGGCAGGAGTGGGACAGATCTGAGGGTCTCTGGCAGAAGGGGGTGGGACCGGGGCAAGCGCCAAGGCAGGGTCCATTTCTTCATTCCTCACAAAGGGTGACACCTCCCCAGCATGCACACAGGGGACGGGGTTGACACGGCAGGGGCTGGTTCCTCGCTGTTTCTAGATGGCCTTGTGGAGCTAAGACTGAATGCGTTTCAGCATAGATGGCCACCACAAAATTGTACATGGGCTCCCGGCCGGCCTGGGCCAGGGCCAAGGCAGAGGGGGCCATTCCCTCACTGTTTCCAGGATGGCTTCACGGGCCACATGGAACCACTTCGTGGGCCGCATCCGGCCCCCGGGCCTTGTGTTTGACGTGTCTGGCATAGAGCCAACTGACCGGAGACGGGACTGTCTCCTACAGGGACAACTGCACTGCATCTCCATCCAACAAGGACATCTGCTCTTTTGGGTTTTGTCTCGGGGGCTGCAGCCAAGCACAGATTAATAGGGTCCCCTCGGTGGCACCAGCTGCCTCGCTGGACTTAGAGGCAAACGGGAGTCTCTTGACAACGGAGCAGATTAAGGAAGGCCGATTAAGGCCTGTCCAGATCTGCAATTCAGCAGAATCAATAAACAAAGAATAAACAAAGGAAAGCTGATCCCTTACCTACATGCTCCATTTCTCTCAGACTGAGATTTTAAGTAATAGTTAAATGCTTTCCACTAATGAACCGGCTGTATAAATAAATAGAACAAAGATGATTGTGGGGTGGAGGTTAAAACATATGAAGAACGGTGGCAGGAACTGGGTGTGTCTAGTCTAGTGAAAAGAAGGACTAGGGGTGATAGCAGGGTTCCAATATTTGAGGGGCTGCCACAAAGAAGAGGGGGTCAACTTATTCTCCAAAGCACCAGAAATAAGACAAGAAGCAACGGATGGAAACTAATCAAGGAGAGAAGCAACCTGGAACTAAGGAGAAACTTCCTGACAATGAGAACAATCAACCAGTGGAACAGCCTGCCTCCAGAAGTTGTGGGTGCTCCATCACTGGAGGTTTTTAAGAGGAGACTGGACAGCCATTTGTCTGAAGTGGTATAGGGTTTCCTGCCTGAGCAGGGGCTTGGACTAGAAGACCTCCAAGGTCCCTTCCAATTCTGTTCTTTTGATTCTAATGGTTGGGTCTGGTTTATTCCCCATTGAATTATGAATTCCCCCAATTAAAAACCTTGAGGATATAGTCTGAATCTCACCATAATACAGCGCTGGATCGGCGCTGATGTGTGTTTAGCATCCTAATTGTGGGAAACAACACTCAACCCCACATCCCATAGTTTAGAAGAAAGCTTCACATTTCTACAGGCCAATGTCATCTGCCCAAATCTTGGAGCTCCAGCCTAATCCTCAATGACTGTCAACTGAAGAGTTGAATTGTCAACTCACGGGCAATACCAGCTCATACAGAATTCAGCACTAGGAGATGATAAAACAGGGGTAGTCAACCTTGGCTCTTTTATGACTCGTGGACTTCAACTCCCAGAATTCCTGAGCCAGCACAGCTGGCTCAGGAATTCTGGGAGTTGAAGTCCACGAGTCATAAAAGAGCCAAGGTTGACTACCCCTGTGATAAAACATTAAGTCTGAGGTTCTACTATTGGTCCTGCTGGGAAGAATGAAAACGGCACATCCCCTTTGAAGAAAATCCCGGAAAAAACCCTCAGGATTAGGAACTGTTTAGACATCATTAGCTAAAGGAAACATTTCCGTGCCCTGAAGCCACCTGAGCAACAATAAAATTTGCAAGGTGCAAATTGTGCATACTTAAATCCTATCCATGGACTTCTATCGTCTCGCTTCACAGATCCACAACGCTGCCACGGGGTTTGACTGAACCATGTAGCTACATTATTTCTTTCAAATCTTCCTACGTCGCCAGGGCAGAACATGGGAAGGTCCACGTTCTGCTTCCTTCCACAGCACGAATAAGTGTCTTTTTCTCTGCTGTGTATATTTCTCCAATGTATCCCCTTCAGAAGACAATATTTGTAGATCAGGGTTGAAGTGTGGATGCCTTAGTGATCTCTGAGTTGGTGGTTTTCTTACAGATGTTTTATTACCACATTAGGTGACATCATCAGTGCACTGGTGAGGGTACCTATTTGGGTAAAGAAAACCACCAAGCTCAGAGAGCACCAAGGGCCCCATGGTCCTCCTTCTTCCTACCCCTCCTCCTCTCTCTCCTTTCCTCTCCCCCCTCTTCCTCTTCTTCTTCGTCCTCCTCTTCTTCCTCCTCCTCCACTTCTCCTCCTCCTCCTCCACTTTCAAAACGTAGCACTGGTGATGTTACCTAGTTTGGTAATGAAACATCTGCAAGAAGACCACCAAGCTCAGATGTCTATGGAGATTCTCCGTCCTCCAGGTCATAGTTATCCCAAAGATACTTTTTCAGGAGGCAACTGGACTTTCTTGTTTTTCTTCGAAGACGTTTCACTTCTCATCCCAGAAGTGTCTTCAGCTCTGACTGGATGGTGGGGAATGAACGGATTTATATTCAAAGAGGCCCTCTAGGTCAAAATTGAACAGCCCTCTCTCAACAGAGGGGGAAGGCTACAACATCATCTACCTCCAGTCTACAACGCAGTTCCAAGAAGGCTTCACACTCATTTGCACCACTCAGGTGACCTTCAGGACACAGGTAAGCCTCCAGGTGGCCTCAACGACTCTCTAAAAGAAGGCAAATGACCAGCTGTCTGCAAGGAGTATAAGTCCTTCCATTCCCCCACGATCCAGTCAGAGCTGAAGAAGCTTCTGGGATGAGAAGCAAAACATCTTCAAAGAAAAACAAGAAAGTCCAGTTGCCTCCTGAAAAAGCATCTTTGGGACACCAGAGAGCACCAAGGACCCCACAGTAGTAGCCTCTTTGCCTTTTAAATGGGGGGAAATGATGTGAACCTGTCAGAGACATTCTTTGTATGACCACAGCAGGATAATCATGTGCTGAAGGCACGGCGAGCATACGAACAGCAGCCAAGAAACGGTCCTGCAGTTGCCAATCAACGTCTTACCTCCGCATCCTTTTCTAGCTCCAGACCAGCTTCCGCCAGGTTGCGTTCGAACTCCTCCCTCTGCTCCTGTTTTGCCACCTCCAAAGCATCCTGTGGAGCGACGTCAATGACCTGAGCTTCTGGAGTAGACCCTTCCTGATGTTTCTGCTGGCTTTTGGCAGTCTCCCCGTTAGAAATAATAGCCAAGGACCCCGGCCTATGTAAGGGGCCTTGACAGTCACCGCCATGATCCGAGAAATGTTTCCGATAGTGGTAAACTAAGACGTAGTCCACTTTTCTCCTGCTGTCTCGGAAATGCATCCCTCCGGGTGACGGCGATGGGCTTTCTGAGACCCCAGTTTCAGCCCCATCCAGATAGTTGTTAATCACCTGGAAGGAAAAGGGAAAGAATTTACAGAACCGCTGCTTGTAAAAACAGAGGAGGGAACAGAGAGCGTGCTGGATAGGCAGGAGAATCTGTATGAACGGTTGCCTTTGAAGGAATGGAGCAGATGGGACCCAGATTAAACCACGCAGGAAGCTTTGATTTCACAAGCTTTGAGCAACCCAGGCATCCACGGGGTAAATACTTTTGGACGGTTGATAGAAATAATCCCAGGCTGAGGTGCAAAGAAGGCAAATCCCACCCTCTAAAAAAGCAAACAAAGGGGGTGGGGGGGAAGGAGCAAAAGAGAGCACCAAGGTTGGAGGAAGCTACACGTTCGTTACGCGTTCTCCTCTCTGTGTTTACCGTAATTCAGATTCTCTTTGCTTTTCCTCCTAGCGATATAAATGGCAGCATAAAATACACCCCTTCCCCCCTTAATCTCCTATATATCCTTAGCTATTCAAGAATTTAACCGGTTTCTCTCCAAACGTACACACAAATAACACTCAATGTTCTGGTAGTCTTGGAAACCACCAAATATGCAGGGTTTTGTTTTTTTTAAAAAAAAAGTTGCAAGGTATTGTTTATACACAATGAACACAGGAACTAGGACGTCAGTTAAGAGGCATTTTTCCTGCTCAGACAATTAGCAATAACTACCTTGTTTGGTTTTTATATTTAAAGAAATAATGGGCCTCCGGAACGTATTGGTGGTTTTTGACTACTTCAGTAACCAGCTGAAGCTCAATTAACAAACCAGCATTGACTTCCTACATTCGTATATGGGTCCTATCAATGTCCAAGTAACTTACAATTAGATGGATTCATATATTGAGGGGTGCACAATGGCTTGTGTCACTAAGCCAAACCATAGTTTCCGTAAGACGTTAGAATGGCTAGACTGGGTGAATACAGCCAGATAATTTGTTTTTCAGTCTTCCAGTATCTCAGGGACTGCCCCAAAGAAGAGGCAGTCAAGCTATTCTCCAAAGCTCCCGAAGGCAGGACAAGGAGCAACGGATAGAAACTCATCAAGGAGAGAAGCAACCTAGAACTAAGGAGAATTTTCCTGACAGTGAGAACAATTAGCCAGTGGAACAACCTGCCTCCAGAAGTGGTGAATGCTCCAACACTGGAAGTTTTCAAGAAGAGACTGGACAGCCATTTGTCTGAAATGGTATAGGGTTTCCTGCCTAAGCAGGGGGTTGGACTAGATGACCTCCAAGGTGCCTTCCAACTCTGTTATTCTGTTGTTATTGAGGACAACATACAACAAGGTTTTTCAGCTAACTAAGGAGTCCTGGGAAGGACATTCTGGAGCAGATCACTCTTTCAGCTGTTTTCCATCTTAATATGGCAAAGAGTGCAGAGAAGAGCCACAAAGATGATCAGAGGACTGGAGACTAAAAGAAAGGAAGAACGGTTGCTGGGATTGGGAATGTCTAGTTTAATGAAAAGAA